TAGTCAAGGAAGCTAAAGATGCCACAAAATCCAAATGAAATTGAGGCAAGAGTCTTCAGGACAGAGTTGTATTTACATACCAGGACAAGTTGAGGGTAATCCCGACACATCTTTATGATTGAGGAGCATGCATGCCTTCTCACATTCTTCACTGCTCGAGTTCTAGGAGCCTGGACAGACACAACAAACTTCAATGCAACAAAACAAAAGTTCAGACAAATGCAGGTTATCTTCAAGACACAAATGTAGTACATAAGAGTTCTGCACTGTTGAGTACAGATAAAAAAACATTTCCACACCTCCCCCCTGCTCCCAAACCATCAGGCAGCAACCAAATTTCCTCTGAAGCAGCAGCCAACTCAAGAAATTCGTGTTCAAACAACCTCTATTTCAGGAGTGAGGATGCTATGGATCTTACTACTTCAAGACTCCCAGCATTCCCTAGGTAGCCAGCAGCTTTAGAGCCATCCTTCAGAGCTACAGATACCAAGTACTGAGGAACACCCACAGCTAATGAAGGGAGCTCACTCTCAGGAAGGCCAGCATTGACCAGGGAACTAAGTGTACTGGCCTTAGACCACATCTGTGGCCTTCTAAGTTTGTGAGCCAAAGGTCAGTAGGCTATGTTAACCAAGAAGAGATCAGCAGTATCTAGACTCCCCAGCCTTTCCAGGAGCAGAACTATACTCCAGAAGCCTACTACAGCAGAGTCTTCAGACTCAGCATGCTCTCCAACAGAATACTATTGGATCTAACTGTTATAGCTCATTAGTAGATAATAATTCAGACGTACCTTACTTTCTTCTACGACTTCAAAGGTAACTGAAGCAAAGAGCTGTGAGAAAAGGGAGGAAAAATCCAAAAACTCACATCATTTGTTAATATCCAGCACACAGGTCTGTTTGAGCTCAAGGAATAGATCATAAAATTTTAGTGCCATTTCATTTAGTGCCAAGTCAGTGAAGAATCCTTTGACCAAGTTGGAAGATGAATCATCAATAGAGTATGGCCTTGAAATAGACTTGAAATTTACTGGCCAGAACATGCACGTTATGTTAAGATTTAAGGCAAAGAACTGCAAAATTTGGGTTATTTGACACTGTTCTTGAACAAGACTCAGTCTCATTTTTTCCCCACCTTTAACATGAAGGATAGTCCTTCTCTGACAGTAACAAGAGGATCAACTCCTGCAGTTTAGTACAAGAGCCCTGCATCACAAAAAGCCCACTTGATTTTAGCATGGTCTGCACGTACCTACCTTGGAAAGCACTTGTGGTAGGTATTCTGGTCGGTAAGTGACAAACGGAAAGAGAGCAGAGACATTGGTGAGCACACAGGACAAGATCAGAGGATCTTTTGTTTCAAAATTAAGGACAAGCTGCAGCAGATCTATGCCATCATTCACTGGGATTTCCTATGAGGGCAGCAAAAAGAAAGAAGGAAAAAAAAAAAACGAGGCAAGGCTCAGTACTTCAGCCTGTAGCACACTTCCTACAACACCAAGAGCTAGGCCATGCAGCTGCTGCTACCCCGTCAGGCCTCTCAGCTGAGAACAGCTTTCTCAAAGCAAAAAGAAAAGCAGCACAAAACTCAGTGTAACTGTGTGCTATGTGTACTTGCTGAGGGAAAAGGGACAGCAGCATTGCCATTGCTGGTAGGGCAGTCTTGAGACATCAGTCTCTAGTCCCCATATTACTGTTTGCACCTGTGAGAAAGGCCAATTTCCTCTCTGTTTGGCTCCCAATTCTCCTGTTGACTCTGTCCAATAGATTCCATGTTTAACCAACTGTACTGACCCACATAATTATTCTGCTGTGATTAGACTGATGAACTGTAAGTGCATGAGCAGCCTAATCTAATAAAAAAATCAAGTCAGTCTACACCAGACTTCTGATTCACCTGCTGCTGAACAAAAACCAGAGAAAAAGCTTCTGATCTCCTACTCCCTGGGCTTAAGTTTCTCTTGTTTAGTTATAAGGTTTAAAAAATTTTCAAAATCTAATCAGGGATAAGTAAAAAGAATAAATTTCTCCTTAAGCAGCTCTCTTCTCCTCCAACAAGCCAGTGTCCCAACATGCCACCTGAGGGCTCTCTTGTGACTTCTCATGGCATAGTGTCCAGAATCTGAGAGTCAGGCAGTATGAGTTTGGTCCCAACTAAAGAAGGGTCACTACTTCTCATAAGAATGACTCACTAAACAATCTGGGTTTTTGCATGGAGGCAAACAGTTACTACAGACTTTTCTAGGACAACATAGCTGAAAAACATCCACTTGTGTCAGCCCAGAAAAGCCAGAATAGGCAGGAGCATCGGATACACATACGTCTTTATCCATGGTTCGAAACATCTGGCTGATGACACTCTCCGAGAAGAAGGTCATGGCATCCCACTGCACAAAGGACGGAGAGAAGATGGAGCAGAGACCTTCGCCTGTCTTAGCTGAAAGAAGAGAACACTGGAGCTCTCACCATGCTCCTCAACAGCTGCCTGAGAAGCTCCTGCACTGCAAGTGCTAACATCTTAGCACTCACAGTATTTTGGCCACAGAGCTCTCCCTGCAAATGCCTTG